AGAGACACCCCATGTACTTTTGGATCATTCTGTCATTTGCAAATAGTCTTCACATCAATTTTCTTAGTCTCTCCTAACCATTTTGATGGATGATCAAGAACTATTTCTCTCCCCACTTTAGACTTTCACTGTTGACACTCAGGAAGGTGACTCTCCTGTCCCTTTCATCTAAAACAGCATTTTTAAGGTGGAAGTGGGTCAGACACTGCCTCGTGACCCAAACAATATCCATTTTCACAGTTCATTTGCCAAAAACTACTCTCGTTTCATTCCAACATGCAGCAAATGGTAGTTATGTGGTACAGTTCAGGGCAGCGATGAGAGTTAAGTAGGAATCTTTTCTAAAAGGGCAGATAGAGCTGATTCTGCAGCTTCAATTCTTCTATTGATCCAACAAGGCCCAGACCTGCAGAACTGCTTCTGTTTCTCTGAGTGCTCCCAACAACAGAAATTTATTCACTCATCATTTTGGAGGCTAGAAGATGGAGATCAAGGTATTGGCGGGCGCGAGCTCCCTTTGAAAGGGTAGGGCAGGGATTCTTCCTTCACTCTTGGAGTTTCTTGGAGCTCTGGACATCCCATGGCTGGTCTCATTACTCCCGTCTCTGCTTCCTCCTCATTGCCTTCCCTTCCTGTTCCTTGTAAGGATGTTAGCATGGGAGTTAGGACCTGTCTGCTTAATCCAGGATGAGCTCATCTCCAGATCTGTAACTTATGTGCATCTGCAAAGATACCTTCACCAAGCCAAGTCACATTTACAGGTTCTGAATGTTACGCTGGGGCATATCTTGAGGGCCACCATTCAACTCACCATACCATGCCTAAGAAACAGTTTCCTATACTGCTCTGACAGGCTATCACAGACCTAGTGGCTAAAAATAAAGCACTTTTATCATCTTTCAGAGTCTAAAATCAGGTCTTGTCACTGCTTTGTCCCTTCCAGAGGCATCAGGAAAGAGTCTGATTTTTTGCCTTTTTCAGTTTTTGAGACCTGCATCCCCTGGTCCAGTGCTCCTTCCTCACCTCACTCTGACCTATTGTTTCCATAGCCTCATCTCCTGCTGCTAGCTCTTCCCTCTCATTAGTGTCTTATGATTCCACTGACACCATGCCTGTAGCTGAGCGTGATCTTCCCATCTCAATATGCGTACCTCAGCCACATCTGCAAATCCATTTTGCCAGGTGTAGTTACGTATATCCATAGGTTCCAGGGATTAGGACATACTGGGTAGCCATTTTCAGTCTACAACTGCCCATGACCAGTACACACGCACACACACACACACACAAAGAGTTGTATTGGATACTTAAAGCCCTGGGTCATTATATTAGGTTCTGGGGTTGACCTAGTAATGAATGTTGGGGCATGAGGTGGCTTTTCCATCCATCCTCTCTTAGCCAGGGCTAATACTGGTAGGTCCTAGAAAAATCCTCCACCTCTACCACTCACAAAAGCCCACTGCTGAGGATGGCGAGGGCTCTGGTTACTGGCCTTTGGTATCTGGCCCCTCCTGTTCTCAAAGCAATGGATTTTAATTTGCTTTTCTCTCCCTTGTGGGGAGCTTAAAGCACTCAAAAGCATTTGGCTTATTAATCTTCATAACATCTCTGAACACCCCTGTGAAGTTATCAAAGGGCAAAGGAAAGGGCAGCAATAATTATCCTTATTTCACAGACAGGGGAGATTGTGACAGGAAAGTGGTTCAATTAAGTTCTCTAATGAGTTGTGGAGAAAGACAGAAAAAGGACCCAGATCTCCGGAAAAAACTATTCATCCCTTATCCCCTCCACCACTATTTTGCTTTTACTACTTCCTGACTAAGGCATTTTGAAAAACATGGTCTGAGCTTTCTGGCAGGTGAACTAGGGACAACAGATGTGCAGGCCACATTCATTTATGTGCATCTGCCTGTGTCCTGTGTCGCAGCCTTTGAGGGACGCCTGAGAGCTATCCATCCCAAGTAGATGAGGCCAGAAAAGCCAGCCCCCTGGGAAGTTGAAACTGAAAGGTAAGCAGAGCTCATAGAATTCACTTTCTCCCTGTAGAAGTTATTGGCTAATAATGTGCTTTTTCAATGGAGAAACTAGTCTCTGCAATCTCAACTTTGAAAAGAGCAAATGGTATATTGATGTCTATTATATTCACTGAACTCGCACATATGTTTTAGGAAATATGCATATCCTCCTTAAGCTAAGTTTGCCTAACATGAGCCAGTATTTATCAGCCCTTTATGAAAGAAAATTTTTGGGGATCATTGTTTCGAGGAAGAAGAAAGAAGGTCTAGGTTCATGGCGTTTGCCCAACCATAACCTTAAGTCCCTAAATCTGACCCTGAACTACATTGATCAGAGAATCTTCTTCCTTTCCAACTTAGCCTTTGTGCTCAAAGATAATATCACTTTTCAAATTTTGTGTCCAGTAGAATAGTTCACCAAAATAAGGGCAAAAATCTGAGAGAGTCTGATTTTAAAGAGAGATTAAAGCAGTGGACAGCAGGACCCTTGTTGGAACCTCACTTTCCTGGATCCCATCTTAACCCCACTCAGTCCCTACAGGTGATATTTTAAAAATCTGGCTTCTGTCACCCCTCTAGTTTCATGGTTTAGTTATACTAAAATGCAAACTACTATTTTCATGTCCATAGTAAAAATTCAGTTTATTCATCTGTTTAGGACACAGCACACCAGGGGCTAAGTGTTTTACATCGTAGATTTCTCTTCCAACTTCTTGGAATGCTCATTTCTTTGCCTGAAAGGGGAGGCTGGGTTGGGAAAGGCAGACTATGCTTAGGCTGCTGAAATAAGGAGGGGCACAATGCTAAGATCCTCTTTACAGGGAGGGGCACAGTGCCTATTAGCATAGCCTGATTTCTGGAAGTGTTAACTGAAAGCCTAGAGCTGAAGCAGCCTCCAGCACACAGGCACAGCAGCACCTTCTGGTAGTCACCCCTGGTGTCTTGCTGGATGTAGGAGTGGGGTGTAGGTATAGAAGGATTTGCTGTAATTTTCCTTGATCCTCTTGATTCTCAATATTTCTGCTTCATTCACTGCAGGAGATCATGGTTCTAATCAGGACCTTAGGGCGAGGGGCTGCGCCATTCAAGGCATCATATATTCGGTTAGTAAAATGCTGGGGCTTGTTCCTAGTACACTGGACTAGGTTCAGGAAAGTATTTTCTCAGTCTCCTTTGACCTCCTTCCTGATGCTCTACTCCGTGTCATAAGGGCTGTAGCTCTTGTACATGTCAAATACTTTCTGGAGGTTACACCACTCCGTTTGGTCAGGATGCTGATCTACTTGGAGACGTCTGTTCCTTTCCTCTTTACTCCAGAATCACAGAGATGCCAGGCATCTTGTCAATCAGTTCATAATCAATGACAGAGCCCTCCTCTGCCCTTCTACCCTTTGTGAGGACAACCATCAGCTCGTGGAAGTCACCAGAAGTGTTGGAAATGGCATCTTTCTCCAGATCTGTCTTGTACATATCCTTGTGGACTCTGTTAATTTCTTGCAGCTCCTGGTTTGTTCTCAAGCAAATGAGGACACCTCCCTTCTCAGGCCCTTCACAGAGGCTTTCAGCGCTGAAGCATCATGCTGAGCAGGTGTTTTCAATATGCCCCAAATCACCGTCTACAGGTGGCTCGACAAGGCTGACTTCGGTGCTAATGCAAGTTCCTTTTTGGTCTTTGTCTGGTAGGTGAAGGCAATATCCTGTCTGTTCACTGTGGTGGTTGGTCCCAATGTTGACTGCATTACCTCATCCTCAGCTTTGCTCTTGATGGCTCAATGTTGAAAGCATCCCACTCAGCCTCGACATTGGTGCAGGCTTTGACTGACCTGTATGCACTTGGTGGAGCATGATCTCCCTCCAAACTGAGCTTGCACAGAATTTAATGAACAGTGAGACATTTTGAAAGAAACTGGGTGGGGAGGGCTGCACGAGTTCCCAGATGTGGAGCTGCAAATGACTTTTCAAAGATACTGCACATTTTCTTATCTTGGTTCCTCGAGGTGAGATATATTTTTCCCGTATTCATTGGATTAATTATTCTGTTAAAAAAATTATTATTCTATTGACTCCTATTCGTTCTTCAGTTCACATATCATTTCTTTCTAAAAGTTTTCTCTCTAAGGCTGGGTTAACTATCCCTATATAATGCTCTCTCACACCTCATATCTGTTCCCAAAATATTTGTTATATAAATTCTAAGTTCAATGTCCTAACTTTTTGTTTAGGTTAGCATTTGAGATACATTTTAAAAGAATCACCAAATCAATGAAAGACAAGTGAAAGAGCAAACAAAGACCCTCCTTACCAACAAATCTATAATCCTTTAACCTGGAATTTCACTTCTAGGACATTTTCTTATGAAAATCAGAAAACAAAGCTTTGGCAAGAAGGCATTAGTGGCAGTGTTATTATACCCACAAAACATTGAAAGCCAATGCATTTTCAAATATTAAAAAGGATGTGTGTTTGGGGTTTTATTCATCCATTAAATGTATTCATCCATTAATAGAATTCTTTCCATGAAGAGTTTATAACAACAAGGAGAATGCTCTTACTATAATTGAAATGATGAAAGTAGTCTTTTTAAAACTCTATATAAAACACTTAGTAAAATTTAAATATTAAAAAAATGACCACAGATATGGAATAAAATGGGGGAAAAACAATAAAAAATCTCAGACACCAAAATATTTTGATATTAGAGCTGTGAATAGTTATGTTTCACTTTTTTTATGTCTTACTGTATTTTAAAATATGATAAACTTGAATTACTATTTGATATTGATATTTATGAAATGATTTATTCTATTAAAATACTTTACTAAAAATAACCCATGTTCACAAGTTCCACAACATATGTAAAAAACAAATCTGTGTCTATAATCACAACAATCGGTAGTCATACCTATGCATCTTCATGTATATTATGCATTTTAAAAGATATAAATTGATTAATGATTTAAAAATTAATCCTTTTATCTTCCTCTCCAGCAGACCCTATGTATTTCTTGTGCAGTTTAACTGACTGTAGATATAAAAGCAACACACTCTGGACAATTTCTTTACTCGCTTATAGTGGAAACATTATTTATTCCTGGCTCAGCATTGCTTCTCAGTCTCCTGAGCTGGCATCTTGATTATTCTTCGGGGACTACTGGTGTTATATATGCAGTCTCTGGGGTTTGAGTAGGGATGGACACAGGGCTCATGTTACCCCCCTCGTTTTATTCCATTGCTAGCAACAGGAATTGATTCAACAATGGGATGAGCCAAGCAGGTCAAAGTCAAAACTTCTTATGGTTGTAGTGAACCTGCCAGGAAAGTCTGCCGAGAATGACTGTCACAGAAAGCAAAGCAGAGAGATGAGCAAATAAGTGGTCAGGGAGAGGGAGATACACACAGAGAGAGAAAGAAAATTCCAGTTATTTCATTGAAGGTCTTGGATCCATGTGTGCCTGAAAAAATTTTGAGATATGACATTTTCTGTTTATGTTGAAATTATTATTTTGAGTTCAAGTTCTACTGCATGCAATCTGAAGATCCTTAATTCTTCATTGTTATTCAAGTGCTTTACAGATTTGTTCTTCTTCTAAGCATAAACATAACCATCTATGGAGAAAAGCAAAGAAGAATAAATTGGTAAATGTTCCTACTGGAAAAATACCTCAGAGACAGTCTACTCTGTTAAACGATCTGCCTGCATCACCCTTATCACTGAAGTGTCTCTTCACACCCCCAACTTCCAGCTCACAGGTTCTAATCTATCCAACACTTAGATTTTGACATTCCTAAAATCCAGTATTTGATTACATTCTTAACTCATGTAGAATATTTTTCTTCTTTCATGAGGCGTATTTTTTGCCATTAGTAGCTTTCTAATCTCTTCTGAGGATTGGATCCATCACTATATTTTGTTCTCTTGAAATGTATCTATCAAAACATTATTTTATTGTTGTCAATAAAATATTTTCTTTATGAAATAAATATTTTCCACATTTACTTGTAGAATTAAATGGGAATTATCGGAGCCGAAGATCTCGTTTTTTTGCATAAATTTAAGCATTTGATTCTAGGCTTACAGATGATGAAAAGAGAATAAACATCCATATTCTCCAACCCAGTAAGAAACTGCTAAGAATTTAATTTGTGTCTTTTATGTTAGTTATATTTTTTCCATAAGATTATTCATTTTGTTACTTAAACAATAAATGACTTCTCAGTGAAATACCAAATGTCAGCTATTTTTCCTGCAGAATTTTAACAATAACAACAACAAATACCTTTTCCCTGGAACACTGTTGGGAGGTTCTATGGATGCTTCACCTGGGGTGAACAAGAGTAACCAAGTTTATAATAATTAATTCATAGCAGCTATTCTCTAGTGATCAAAGATTGAATCATATGCAAGTGTGGTTTTAATTTCCTCTTTTAAATGAAGAACAAGCAAAACTATAAATCACATATCCAATTCTGCCATAAATCTCGTTTGTTCCATTGCTTGCCAACAATCCAAAAGAAATATTTTATTCCTTGCATTCCTTGTCCATATCAGGTTCATTATATTTTATTCTTTCCAGTAATAACTAAGCACAGGACATGCAAACTCTGAAGTTGTTAGCAATGATTTCTCTGCTGCCCTGTAAGATCGACAGTGACAGGTAATTGGACATGCAAACAGTATTGGCTTTTCTCCGCACTGCCGTTTACATGCCTCAGGCGACAAGACACGTACAACTCTGCGTGAGCGTGTCCTATGGTGACTGGTCGTTGTAGTGGAAAAATATATAGCTATATAGCCTCCCCCAATCTTAGTTTAAGAAGTCAGATTTTCTTCCATTTTCAAACCCCCCACTACTCAACCATTAAATTCTTTTCACCAGTGCTTTGGTACTCCAAACATCCATCTATAGGATTCACTGAGAAAGAAGTCAAAAAGACTTGAAAATATCCTAAACTTTAAATTCCTAATCTTCTACAAACCATTTTTTTTTCTATAAAATCTCAATTGGTTCAGATACCAAGAGGGTTAAAATTTTGAGCAAAAATTTTAAGATATTTTTCTTTTCTCTCTCAATCCTGCTTTCCTTTTTACAAGCTTATGTGTAATTTTCTCTTTGTTTGTAGTTTCAAATGTTTGATATATTTTTGTGGGTGCATAGCTTTTGCTAAAGAACAACGCTGACTTTTGTAATAGCCTAATAGTAGATAGAGAAGATAATTTTTCCCTCTCTCCCAAACAATGGTTTTGCCCTAGTCACATATTGATATGCTAACTTAGAAGCACAGTGTTGCTAGAATAATGAAAAACGTATGCAGGTTGTCTTTATTCTTTAGATTTAGGCCAGTGTAACTGAGCAAAGAATCAGGACTTTGATGTGAATGTGGTATAATTTGTATACATTGATCATAAAATTGAAAGTCAGAGGCATTCAAGAAAGATTGTAACTCGGGGCCTCCCTGGTGGTGCAAGGGGTTAAAACACAGCACTATGAAGCTATCTGCAGCCACTGCAGCATGAGTTTGATCCCTGGCCAGGGGGGTGACCTACATGGCGCAGCTGACCTCTCTGTCTCACCCGCTGCTCCCTTCAGCAGTGTACCTCAGTAGATCTGTTTTTCTGCTCCCCACTCTGTATCTGGTGAATCCTCTCACCCCCCATCTCACCCCAGCTCTTGTGTGCATAAATAAATAAATCTTTAAAAAAGAAAGAAAGATCATAACTCATTTTAAATTTGTATATGGTATTAGATCCCTGAAGCCATAGCTCATCACTTTGTAGGCATGGAAGCAACTTTCAAAAAGGAGTCCAGTCACAGCTTGCTATAGTCATCTCCGCCTCTTTGTTTTGTCCTATTGGGTAAATCACCTGCTTGAAGTCTCTTTGGGATTCCTTCAGGGAACATGGTCTTGTCTCCTCAATTACCCTCAAGAAAAATATCGGATGTTATGGGCATTTATTTGCTAGGATAATTGAGTTTATTTGAAAGAACACTGAAGCAAAAGTAGAATTGTGTGGGTCAACTATTTGCATTTATCCTATTACTGGGGACAAATTGCTCAATAAAGAGTCCTATCTCTGGGCTCTATTTCCTAAAGTACAAAATGAGGGATTTTAAGAAGTGGAAGGCTACTTTTCTTTCATGTTATAATAAACTATGATAAGTGTTTTTCCTCTCCTGGTGCTGAGAAGCAGGCTGAGGCAAATTCGAGATGAGCAAATGCACATCTCGGGTGAAACATGAAGTTGATAATATAAAATAACCCAAATAAAATATCAGGCAATGTTCTTGACAATATAGATCCCCCAACTCCCCCATGCCCCGCTGTGTAATCATCACAATGGCCTATCACGTTAGGTTGCATTATTAGCTGCATTTTACAAAAGAGGAAACAGAATGACAGAGAAGCAAGCAGAATAGCTTAACCAGAGTCTCACAGTCCATTACTGGTAGTATCAAGCTTGAGTCACCCAGGTAGTCTGGCCACATAGTTTATGTTCTTCAATTCTGAGCTACTCTGCTCATTTTCTCATTGACGTGTGATAGTCCCAGATCTTTATAAATGTGGTAAGTTCTTACATTGCTCAGAGGTATCTGAAAGACTGCCTCTGGCCATAATCACAGCTTCTATAATGACACTGTGCCTGCAAAGCATAATCCCAGAAGGCCCTTCTCATCGTCATACCTTTTTCACAGAAAAATAACTTGCTCCTAATGACTGAGCCACATGTTAGTGGAGACTTATCTGTGTGTTTTGGTTTGTTGCTGGTAATTCATTTTAGTCATGGGAAATGGTCTCTCTGATATTTGCTGCACTCTCATTTCCTGAACAATATGTCCTTTCTCTCCATGTGTCTCCTTTGGAAGTCCTTCCTGAGGTTTCCTGTGGTATTGTAATTATTGTGGATTTCGCGAAGTGGTTTTGTGACTTTTGAGGCTTGAGCCTGAACAAGAAAATGTTTCCCACTTCTTTCCTTCTACAGGAACAAGGAAAGGCTTGAATGATGCTAACAATAATGAGTGATAAAGAATAAGAGGGATTTTTTTTAAATCCACATACAATAAGGAGTTGAAGTGTTTATTTTCATTTTGGAAAGCTTGCTCTAGCAGCACTATAATGCATTGCAGAGGAGGCAGAGAAGGGTTAGGACCCCAAGTAGGTGGATGTGATAGAAAACCAGGTGACAAATGATAGTGAACTTACCTGATGCAGTGGCTATTGGGAGGGGGAAAAATGAGTGAATTTGAGATTTGTGAAAGAGATGAAGTTCAGAGGCCTTTGCAATTGGTTGTGTTTGGGGTATATGAGGGAGAGGAAGCTGTCAAAGTTTCTAATTACATTTTCTTTTCTTTTTTTTTTTATGCCAGATACACCCATCTTTATTTTTTTTTAAATAATAAATTTTATTTTTATATTCCCCCATACAATTGCAAAAGCCCCATTCTGACCCCAATCCTTCCCTTTCCGCCCCCCACCCCCCAAAAAGTGTCTCTGGTTCATAGTTTTTTGTTGATTTTGATTTTCACTTTCTTATATTCATTTTCCTGGTCCCTTATTTACATTTTCTAACTTCAGAATTGGGAGGGTGATAAGTAAATTACTTCAACTCTCTGAGCCTCAGTGTCTTCATATGTGAAGAGCTCCATCCCCCCTTGATTATGGATTATCCCAGTGAAAGGATGCAAAAGCACCCAGCACAGAGCCAGACATAGGTAATACTTATTGAAGAGAAAAGGTTATTATTTGTGAGCCATTGAAAAGGAAGTTATTACTTTACCCTGGACATGTAAGAGGCAGGAAAATGTTTCCAAAACTAAGAGAAGAAAAGCAAGACACAAAGTGCATGACTGAATCGATTCTTCTCTGTAATCTTAGCAGCCAGAACATTAGTGGTCAGAAGTAATTTCATTTCATGTCAAGTAGACACTTGGTCATACAGTGCTCATAAGATTTTGAGATACTTTAAGTCTGACCCAACAAATGGCCATGCTTACACCACCAAGGTTTGCAAGGACATCCCAACCTAGGTCTCTGTATTCACAATCTCTCCATCATTATCTGCATCTGGAAGGCCAGGAGCATGCTCATTCTTCCCTGTGTCTGCAGACTGAGATGCAAATGAGCCCCAAGGGAACAGTAGAAGATATTTGCAAAAGATTGCAGAGCTAAGATCACCTTGGTCTCTAAACAACTTTAAAGAGAAAAAGTTGGCATGCCTAGCTGCTCACCCATACCATTCTTTGAGGAAAAAAAAAATAACTTGTATGTCAAAATACTAACATGATTAAGGTTTATTTTGTTATAGCCACTAGCTATTCTAATGTAGTATACATCTTACTAATTATATACCTTTTTTTTTTTTTTTTTGGCTTCCTCTCCCAGCTCCACCCAAGGAATCCTCCTCCTAGATTCCCTTGAGAGTCCTACCTTCAGATATCTTGGTATAAGAGAAGACTACACTCCTAATTGTTTAAGCTACTATTACTTGGATTTTTCTGTTACCAGAAGCCAAGAGCACTCTTAGTATTCCAGCAGTGAGATAGCAAAAAAAAAAAAAAAAAAATCAATCTCAAATATGGAATTATATAGGCTAAGTCTTGGTTATGTCAAACAGAATTTACCTCATTTAATTGTGTTAAGCAAGTGTCAGGCTTGTTGAAACAGGAAGGACAATTACAATAGCCTTGCTGCTTTTCTAGAAATTTAGCTTTGTAATCAAAATGCCTGTGATATCTGTGTATAACAATCTGAAATTACTGGAAGTCTAAATTAAACAGTGTTAAACCTGGCATTTTATAGGGCTTAGTTTATTATTAAGAAAAGGTTCTACCATTTCTCTGGGAATGCTAGGAATTTTGCTTCCCTAATTTTTCTCTTTCTACAATAAATAAAATATTGGCCAAATAAAATAATGTGTGCTTAACATACCTAGTATAAACATTATATGTAGCTGTACTTTTGGCAAAAGTTAAATTAAGACTGGTACAGCAATTTAAAGGCTTATAAGTTCATATTCAGAAAGTTGCTTTCCAAAACAAGGCCCCAAATTACCTTATTGAGCTATCATTAGCCTCTTCCTCTTGGGCAGAAACAACAGAGAAAAACTTCAGCCAATTGACTTTTCTCGTTTAGATTCAGTTAAATGTTTATATATATATATATATATATATATATATTCAGTGCCAGGTAAGTAAAAAATGGAGAAATTATCTAATCTATATAGATTTCAAAAGGCTTTGAAAATTGTCTGTGTTTTCCCCTAGTAGAAATAATCCCTTGCAGTTTACAAGCTTAGTTAATGCTGGTTGCATTTCTGAATGGATCTCTGGTTGCAGAGATTAATTTATTATAGGAATTAATTAAGAGATTAATTTATTATAGAAATATAATTTCTACAGATGAATTTATCATAGAAATTTCTTAGTAATTATTTAACCATTTATTAGCATTTTATTCACTGAATTAAACAGTACTACCAAGCACCCACTCTAGGACAATTCTATTTAACAGCCTTATTCTGAGCAGAGAGCTTGGGTTGTGGGAAGTACAATGATTCCAAAGTCAGACATTCCTAGTGCAGAGCTCAGGACGGCTCTTCATTTTTTGTGTGACTTGAGCAATTTAATTAAGACTGACTCTCCATTCTGCCCTTTTTCCTTTTTTCTCGTATTGTGGATTTGGCTCAAGGGCAAGGCAAGAGGGCACACAGGAAATGGCTAACTCTGTTTCTAGACCAGAGGAGAATCTCTGGACATGGGATTTGTTCTTTGTAGAAAGTTCCAAGGTCATTGCATGGGTCACAGGATAAGGCACCATCTAAGAAGGCAATTATATCGGCAGTGGTGAGGGTGTGGAGACAAGGTGAGGGAGGGGGGTAGACAAAGAATCATGGATAACATGACTTATGAACTGAGCGCTGAAAAAAGAATTTTACCTGAACATGGATGTGTCTCCCATTGCACTTGTAAGAAGAAATCTCTCTCTACTTCTCACACACCAGAGTGATAGATCTTTCAATATTAACTGCACATCAGCTTCGTTAATGTACTGGATGATTTGAGTTCTTCCTTATTATCCCTTATTATTTGCTGTCTTGCCCAATTTAACCTCATCCATCTGAAAGCTGGGAAATTGTGTTTAGATTCTTTTTCATTGTTGTTTGGGTTAAGCAGGCTTGAAAGTGTTGAATCCTTAATGACCCATCTTCATTATGTGAGGAAATTGCATCATGCAATGTACCAGCTTGGCATTTAACCTTAAATTTTAACTCCATTATTTAGTCATTAACCGTATGTGTTATTTGACCCCCTTTCTTAGGATGATCAGTGGAGGCTCATTCCTGCATTATTGTAGGATATATTAAATTAAATTCAACAAAATTCCCAAGTGCCCATCATGGTTCCCAGGTGATTTACCTATTCATCTTTGTATCCCCAAATCTACCACAGTACCTAGTATAATTTAGCCATAAATATGCTTAATAAGTAAGGGATAGGGACTTTAGAAGATATCAAGATAAATTAGATGTGATTTCATACTCAGAAATTTAAAAAACAATAATTATGAGGTATCATAGACCTATTGGACGACTGTGACAATAGTACCAATTTGGGTGGCTTAAGGATGCTTGGAATTCCAAGATTAGCAGATTTGATATCTTGTGAAGGTCTCTTACCTCCTTGTGATAGCCTTTTTCCTATAGCAACTCATAGCAGAAGAGCATTGGTAACTCTGTTGGGTCTCATTTATAAAGCCACTAATCCCATTCATGACAACTCCACCCTCATGATCTAAGCACCTCCCAAAGCCCCCTCCTGTAAGAACATCTCAATGGGCTGTTATTTGTAATTGGAAACAAACTAATGGCTTAACAATATGTGGGTGATTAATTTGGATATTTTGTGATGGAATAGTATACATCTGCTACAAATACACCACATGAAATATTGGGTTTCACAGTTCCAAGTCTGTGGTTGACCAGCTGGCTAGACCCAGCCTGCAGGTGCTCAGATCCCAAGGACAAGCAATTACCAACAGGTTGGGGACTGGGCCTCACAGTCCTAAGTGACCCAACTTTGGCCAGCCCTATTTATCTGGGCATTTACCCAGAGATGATGGGATATTATATTGGAAGACTATAATCCTTTCTTGTCTTTCTATGTACACTATCCTATTAAATTCTTTCACATTAGGAGTATGCTTTCTCTTTATGTGGCAGATGGCAGAACCTACTTAGAGTATATATGTTAGGGGATCCTGGGTTACCCCTCATTCTGCACACTAGCAGATGAAGTGGATTTTGAGGAATCAAGAAACAGGACCACTGTCAAATATGATTTTCTAGTTTGGATTTTAAATTTTGTTTTACACACTTGGTAGCCACTCTTGAATTAATTTAAACAAGGCTAAAGAAAAAAAAATTGCTAAAACATTTTCAACATATGAAACCTATTGAAATATTTCGTAACTAGTAAAAATGCAATCAGTGGGGAAGAATGGTCCCCTAACATTGTAAACTTATGTAAGCAGCACAAGAGAAAAGTACCAAATGAATCATGTAAATAATTCTAAAAAATTAAAAAACCTAGATGTGGGACCTCTTTTTTTATTGTATTTTCAAAACTGTCCATGAGCTTTTCTGTGCTTTCTTTATGCTTTATTTCCATATTCCATATAGGCACTTGATTTTTGTGAAGTATTGCCTCATTCTGTTCCATGAAGTTGTATTTACTCAGAGATGAAATACTCATTTTGAATTGACTCCCAAAGAGAGATGACATCATTCACCCTCTGAATATCGACCCACTGAGTCTAGCAGTGGTTCGGGATGACTGACTTTGTGTCAGTCGCTCGTTCACATTTCATACCCCCTTTACATGTCAGAGAAAACTTTTATGTGATAAGAAAACTTAACCACATAATAACGCACAGGAAATCATCAATTAGCAGAGGTAATATTATCTTAAAATACTATTTACAATAAATGAAGCTCTATGAAGAATCTGACCTTTTGTGAAGACAAAACAGAATACAATAAGCAGGAATGATTCCCCCTAGATCTTAACATGCTGGCCTGATTTTACCAGATGTTTTTATTTTAGTGATTTTTTTTGTTCCACATAAATGACAATATTTTTCTCCAACTGCAAAAGAATGAATATTCATGGAAAAAATAGGTTGTGAAACATCACATTTGGCATTTCTGCTCAGTGCCAAGATTTAGTGATGTGGTGGGAAAGTTACAAATTATTAATGTGCTCATTCCATTGAATAAACATAAGGTTTTCCTTTTATGGGCAAAGTTTTCCCATTTCCAATTTTATCTTTAAGTTTTTTTTTTTTTTTTCATGCAACGTGTCTCTATAAACCACATATCCAACCCCAAAGCAGCTAATGATTTATATACTCCCCAGATGTTTAAAGCCACATTGTAAAAAAATGAAGTAGCAAAGAGTAGAAAGACCAAACAATTAAACCACTGGAACTGTGAATATGACACTCACTGGGAGGCTCTTATATTCCTGGTGAGTAGCATATGTTTGGGGGTTGTAAATTAGCATTACAGCCCTTTATAACTCGGGATATGCCATGACATTTTGAGATCACAGTACAAATACTGGTTTAGATGTATTCAAATAGAACTGTAGTTAAAATAATCAGGTGACAGGGTAGGAAAAACAAATCTCTAAAATAACACTATTATGGGCTATACCACAGTGTACATGAAGATTATGAACCACTCATCACACTTTCAAGAGAATGCAGAGAATGTTAAATTATCTGGAATTGTACATTTGATTAAAATATAGCTGGTATTTAAATTTTAGCATTAAGACAAATTTTGATTGCTCTGTTTAGTCAACTCTCTTTAGGGATATAGGTATCTATTAAGTAGGAGATGCTTATGATTTTATAATGACAGACAAAAGATGATAGTAAGGGGTGACGAGAGAGAGTTCATTTTTCATAAAGAAACCTCATTGAATAGCATTATCTTACTGCATCAAAGATTCATGTCAGGGTGCAGTGTCATCACAAAAAAAAAAAAAAAAAAGCTTGGCTGATTCATAGTAATTAAACACAGAAAAGAAAGAACCACATAAAGCCACCAATTAATTCAACTCAGAAGGGACATTCCTTCCAAATATCTCTCATTCAGGGAATTCCCATCCTCGTTGATAGTTCATGAAGCTGCATTATTATATAGTTGCAATGTTGCCTGGGGGGCAAAGAAACAATAGCAAGTTGTGGGTTTGGCTAGCTGAGGAGGTAGTTCTCTGCTCAGACTGGAAAATAGAACTCGTTTTGGACGCTGCTGGGCTGGATGAAATTATTCACTGAGTGGCTCTTTCCCTTGATGTTCCAGGCAACCTTAACTTTTTTTAAAAAATATTTATTTATTTATACACGCACAGGGCACAGTCAGAAGCATGGGAGGGTGAGAGAATTCACCAGAGCCAGAGCGGGGAGCAGAACAGGCAGACTGATGAAATACACTGCTGAGGGGAGCAGCGGGTGGCAGGAGAGGTTTACGCTCCATGTGGGACCCTCACCCAGTGGCCAGGGATCGAACCGGCGCTGCAGAGGCTGCGGGCTGCTTCACAACCCAGTGCTCAACTGCTGCGCCACCGGGGAGGCCCGCAACTATGACTTTTAATTCAGTCTTTTTCCAGTGTAACTTATGTTTGCTACCTTAAAATTTAAATCCCAGTCCAGTTATGTCACTTTTAAGTCATCCTTCTATCTGTGTTAATTGTATTTTGGAGGTTCCCAGTAGTTTTAAGCCAGACATCATTCAAAATCCTAGAGAATCATTTCATTTACTTTTTAAATATGTTACTCGCTTTTGTCTGGGTTGCTTGTCTTTCCTTTCAGAAACTACCCATTTACTTCTCTTCCTTCATGGGTCTCTCATTTTTCTATGTCTGTTTCTTAATAATAATGCTACTCATGATAATTAAAATTTACTGTCAAATTACTGGCTACTCACATGTCACAGCAACTCTGGTACGGATGGAGCCAGGATCTGAAATCATGCTTCTATGACCCAGAAGCCTGTGAATGGTCATTGGATAAACAGAAGTAAACACAACTGCCATTCATCTTATAATTAGAAATGAAAATAAAAGTAGTAAATATGCTAAGAGTTAAATTAATCTTTCTTCACGAAAATAAACATATCAAATAATGCATTCACAATGAGAGGGTCTCTGGTTGCTTCTTTCAGCTGGAAATCCCAAATGCAAAACAACTTTAGGAAATCGTCCGTAGAATAACACAATAATATCATATCATCTCAATCAAAACAGTGTCCACATCTTGTAGTTTCTCAATGATAGTCTCTTGTATCTTTTTCCTGAGACATTCTTTTCTTCCACATGAATTTTATTTCAAAGTTTTCCTTCCATTTAATCCTCAGCTTTCCACTCTTCCTCTCATGGCTAACAGATTCCTTTGCTCCTACTTATCGTTCATGGAAACATAAGTGAATGGTAAAGGGCAACCTAATTGCTCATATTAAATCTAACCTTTTGCAACAAATGAATTTTGTCTCAAGTTCTGAGATATATGAGAGATTTTAAATATTTCCATTGAATGAAATAAAGCACATTCTTTATAAACTGTGAAGTCCAAGATACTGAAAGCAGACTAATGGTTTATTTTTCAAAAAGGAGGTTAAGATAGATTAAAAAGAAAGGTGAGAAGTTTACTACCAAATCAAGGTAAAATTATAATCGACTTTATAAATTTTATTTTATATGTAAAATTTAATTTGTTATATAAATTTAAATATTAACATGCTAGTAAACACTAAAATTAAGTGGAAGTAGAAGATAACAAATGGACTATGGTGGAGGATTATTGGTGTGTGGTTGGTGGATGTAGCTGTAAATAAATAACTGAAGAGATGAGAACCTAAACTCCTACATCATGGCAGTCTTCTAAACCATTACCTCGATTAAAAAAAAATAAAAAACAGTAAGCAGCAAAGCAAAAAAATAGATAAAGTAAAACCAACATAAAAACCCCACCATACTGTGGTAGACTTGCAAAAATTGCCATCATTATCTTGCAAAGTAGGCATTTTCCAAACCACTAACTTTGGACTTGTTTAGTCACTTGTTTTAGCCAATGACCTATGAGTGGTTTCGGTGTGATGCTCAAGGAGAAGCTTTTAGAAGATCTGGTGATGAAACTTGGGCAGATGAAGATTTGCTTCTTTTGGGTGAGCAAACATTGAGAAGGAATCTCCACTCCTGGTTAAGATGCTGTGAACATTGTTGAAGTGACAATAAAAGATTTAGCATGTTACAAAAACTTAGTTGATAAGGCAGCAGCAGGGTTTGAAAAAACTGGCTCCAATTTAAAAATTCAACTGTGGATGAAATGCTGTAAAACAGTATCACATGCTGCAAGAAATGCCAATGTAGAGACTTCATTGTTGTCTTATTTTAAGAAGTGACCACAGCCACCCCACCCTTCAAACATCACCATCCCGATCAGTCAGCACCGAACATCAAGGCAATACCCTCCACCAACAAAAAGATGTCAGCTTATGGAGGACTCAGCTGATGGTGAATGCTTTTTAGCAACTTTTAAATTTCTGGTATGTACAGTATTTATACAGACATAATGCTACTGCACACCTAATGGACTACCATATAGTGTAGACATCACTTTTATATGCACTAGGAAAGCAAAAATATTGTGACGGGCTTATTGCAATTTTTACTTACTGGTTGCAATATTTACTGCAGTGAATTGTAGTGTATCCAGGGCACGCCTCTATTGACATAGTGAGTCATTGCTTGTAAGATCCATTCATCTGTTTTTTTTTTTTTTTTATTTTTTCTTAAAGACAACCCCTAGCTCCTTTTCCTTTCAGTTCTTTGTGATTTATTTATTTATTTATGTATTTATTTATTCTTTAAAGATTTATTTATTTATTTACACAAGCACTGGGTACAGTCTGAAGTGTGGGAGGGGGAGAGAATTCACCAGAGCCAGAGCAGGGAGCAGAACAGACAGAGTGACGAAATACACTGCTGAGGGGAGCAGCGGGCACAGCAGGAGAGGTCTGTGCATGATGTGGGACCCTCGCTGGCGACCAGGGATCGAACTGGTGCTGCAGAGGCTGCGGGCAGCTTCGCAGCCCAGCATTCAACTGCTGCGCCAACAGGGGAGGCCCTCATCTGGGTTTTAAACCCACCTTCTCTGAGTGATTTTGATGAACAACCCTATTTGGAATCTCTGATCCCATTCAGAATCCCCACAGCACCCCAATCAAGGGCTCCTTCATCTTTGCCTAAATGCCTCCTGTGAGAGTGAGTCAAACCCGTCTCTCCCTGGATGGTACTAACTGCTGGGAAATCAGCCTCCTTAGGACATCAAAACACCAGTTCTGCTGACATGGGACATTTGTTATGCAAAGACATTTTTGTGGAAACCAAGGGAAGGCACCACCCAGAGCAGAGGACAAGAATCAGCAGAGGCACAAAGTCAGAGTCCAACAGGACCTTGGCAGGAAAAGCCCCAAGAATGCAAGGCATGTTGGACTTGTCCACAGCGTTGACTGGAGTGGGACCCGGCCAGCTCCAGCTCTGGAGGGGCAGGGCTTCCAGCTAACACTTAGAGTCCTGCAAAAGTCACCTTCCTCTCTTACATTTCCCTCTGCACTACTCCTCTGCCCAGAAGCTCTAGGTGAGTCTTGGAGGATGCTGTGTTCCTTTTCCTTTATTTTTTTTCTTTCAATTTTAGTCTTACTGGTTTAAGTTTTTTTGAGTGTTCTCTTTGTTTTTGTTGTTTGAATACATTTTTATTGTAGTTCCATTGGTTTACCTGGTTGTTAGTATTTTGGAAGTAATAGGATCTTCCCCTTCAAGTGTAGTGTCACAGCATACCGACCACCAGGGTACCCATAGTCCTCCACCACGGCCCATTATGCTCCCTATCTCCCTTTCCAACTCCTCCCCTCCCCTCTGGATTCCTCAGTTCTATGGTCAACTTTTGAAGGTTGGTTTTAAAGTTTGTCTGACCCTTTGTTGGGTTTCTCTGTATTCTACATATAAGTGACACCATTCAGCATTTATTTTTCTTCTGCCTTATTTTATTTAGCATCATGCATTCCAGCTCCATCTAGGATGCCTCAAATGGCATGAGTTTGTCTTTTTCAGTAGCTGAGTAGCATTTCATTGGGTTTATATACCATTCACTCATCTGTTTTCAAGCACTTGGGTTGGTTCTGTAGCTTGACTATTTTAAACATAGGGGTACAGATTTCTTTTCAAATTAGTGTTTTGTATTCTTTGGGTAGAAACTTAGGAGTGGAATTACTGAGCCATACTATAGATCCATTTTTAGTCTTTTGAGAACACTCCGATGTTCTTAATGGCCAGTTTCTGCCAGAAAGTGTCCATCTTTTAAATGTATATTCTTTCAGATAGAGCACTAATACCTGAGTGAACATTAGATAGTGTCTCTTAGCAGAAAAGTGTTGTGAAGAGACAATCTCTATTGAAAGAACAGAACAATTTTTGGCAACTTGAACCTTTAAGTAAAAAATAATGTCAATTACTCTTTAGTAAAACAAAAATATTGAATTTGAAACTTGTAAATATTCCCTAATTGTGTGGGTAGAAATGACATCTTGTTTAAATCAGAATAGAATTTAATTTTAAAATGTTAAATTATAGGTCTTAAAATGGAGAGGACTAAACATCAGGAGTCACACTGGAATTATATGAATACATTATGTCACATTAAGTTATATCACACGGGGGCCTCCCCGGTGGCGCAGCGGTTGAGCACTCGGTTGCGAAGCTGCCCGCAACCTCTGCGGTACCGGTTCGATCCCCGGCTGCTCCCCGGCCTCCGGAGGAGGGTCCCACATGGCGCGCAGACCTCTCCTGCCGCCCACTGCTGCCCTCAGCAGTGTACTTCGGTCCTTCTGCCTGCTCTGCTCCCCGCTCTGGCTCTGGTGAATTCTCTCACCCTCCCGCGCTTCTGACTGTACCCAGTGCTTGTATAAACAAAACAAACAAACTAAATAAATAAATAAAGCATGCCTCTATAAAAAAAAAATATATATATATATATATAAAAAAAAAGTTATATCACACGGACCATATATCCTGGAGAGGGCAGCATTACAGATATGGCATTGCTGGTGACATAATACACTGGTGTTTCAAAAACAAATACCACTTTGGGTCCTCCCTGGTGGCACAAGGGGTTAAGCACCACACTACGAAGCAATTCGCAGCCTCTGCAGCACAAGTTCAATCCCCAGCCAGCCAGGAAGCAACCCACATGGCGAGGCAGACCTCTCCTGTCTCACGTGCTGCTCCCTTCAGCAGTGTATTTCAGTCAACCTGCCTGTTCTGTTCCCCGCTCTCTCTTTTGTGAATCCTCTCACCTCTGCACCACTGGCCTGCACCCCAGCTCTTTTATGCATAAATAAATAAATCTTTAAAAAATACCAATTTGCAAAGGTTTCTAGTGAATGAAATTTTAAAAACATGAACATGAGAATATTATAAATTGGTGAGTTTGTAATAGGTAAGAATTGTGATTCAGGTGCAGTTATACCAACAACTAAAGGTATTTTAAAAATCTATTTTGAGTTGTTAAAATGATTTAAAGCTTCTGTAGGCATTTAGCAGGTGGACACATTTCTTGCATTGCATAGTTTGGTCCTTCACAAAAGGAGCCTGCCCCATATGCTGAAGACAACTTTTTTGAGAATCGTTAGACTAAAGCACAAAACTATTGAGTCAATAGAAAACTATATTAACAGATCTATGATAAGACATTTTCATAGGCTCCTCTCTATCTCTCTATCTGTTCTCCTGTATCTCCCTTTACAAACACACACACACACACACACACACACACACACTGTAAAAAACCAACCACTATAAGTGTTTGTAACTGGAAGAAATTTAAAACAGGAATAGTCAATTTAAAAGCAATCCAATTGGAAATGCTGTAGGGACAAGAGTCAGTGAATTCCTATTAAATCCCAGGAAA